CGTTCATAGCTAGATGTTAATTAACATGTGTTTTTTACATGCTTCTTCTTTTCTTGTCAATTTACTTCTTATGCATTAGTTTTTATTAAATTCAAATTTTATTTCTCAAAAAATATTTACAATATTCTTTAATTACCTCCCAGCAAACGAGAATGGATTGAAATGTATTCAAATTTTCAGAAATACGGATTTATGAATGTTAAAATAAATCTTTTTTAATCCTGAATGTATTTTTATTCTTTTATAGGAAGTTCATGAAAAAAATGTTTATTTCTTTTCAATCTTGAGTGCATATTTATTCACTTATAGGAATAGCATGGAGTATATTTTTATGCTTTTTAATATAAAAATAATATTATAGTATTTTATGTGCATCGTGAATACTGTTTAATTACAAATTCTGAATAGAAAATGCAGTTTTTTAATCCAGTTGAATCTAAATGTCAGCCATTTTTATGCATCATGAATACCGTTCAATTCAAAATTCTAAATAGGAAATGCAGTTTATTAATACAATTAAATAAAAAAAAGGTTTTCTTTTAAAATGGGTCATGAATATTATTCAATTCAAAATTGTGAGTAGAAAATCCATTGTTTCATTAAAAAATGCATCATGAATGCTACTTTATTCAGAATTATGAATAAGAAATTTTTCGTTTTAATTCAACTGAATTAAAAAAAAGTTTACCGTAAAAATATATCATGAATTTTACTTCATTTAATAGTTAAAAGAAACATAAAAAGAACTACGTAAATACATATATATAATAAATGTTACATATATAAATTACTTATTTTTAATTAATTAATTAATTGCTTTTATGTATATTTCATATTAATACGTTTCCTTCATTATACGACTAGCGTATATTTTTTGCATAAAAGTTTTAAAATAATAACTATAGAAGTTTATAATTACTACTTAGATTTATTTAAACTTTTAAACGTATAAAAATGTTTTTTTTTATATGGAATCCAATTTTTATGGATTTAAAATACGAATTCGAATGGATTGAAAATTTCCAATTCATTTCAATCAATTTTCGTTTGCTGGGCTACCCATAAGAAAAAAAACTGAATAGTGTTTCTCATAATTTCAATAAACTGTTTTACTATACAGTAACTGACGATATTTCATCGATTACTGATGCAATATCATCAATTATTGATAGAACTAATCAGTTTATTGGAACATTAATCAATTCTTTTTAAAGGTGCTTTAAAACACTCATATAAAATCGAATTACTTTTTTAAATATTCATAAACAAACAAAAGTTGGGATGTATACACCTTCTTTCAAATATTTTTTATATTGTATTTCGACGTATATGATCTCATATTTTGATATAAAAGTTACTACACTTAAAATGTATGCCTCTTATTCTTGGATACGCAGAAATATTCTTTTTCCGGTATTCAAAGCGTGAAAGAATTCGATTGTTTGTTTAGTTGTTTTCTGCTCCTTCTTCGGGAAGGAGCTATTATACCCGCGACAAATTACATACTGCGGATTTAACCAGCGGTGCAAGTGCACTTTGCGATTTTTGCAATTACGTTGGTATGTATATTGTATAGTCGTGTGAAAATTTTTGCCGCAAAATTTTTAATGTTGCAATCCGTGGAAAGTCACTTGCGCAAGGCTAAAACTGAGCTATTTGATCGAAATAGTTTGCAGTTACAATTTTCGGTCCAGCCTCGCCTTTTTCCGTATTTGTGAATTGTATCATGTAGTTTTACCGGTTTATTTGACGTAATCACGCATTCGCATCTCGAATTGCTCGATTTTAGACTGAATTCCTATCGCATTGGAAAGACTGCGTTTTTTTTTTCGTCGAAAAACCGAGTGCAATTTATTCTTGATACACACAAGAACATTTATTCGTAAAACGCGGACATGCATGCAGGGCCGCTGCTGACGCACAAGGCATCTTTATGCGAAAGGGATTTTGTTAACCCTCTCAATATGACATTTTGTTCACCAATCTCTTAAACAATATGTATTTTTAAAAATAATTTTTTAAATATCTTGAGATGTAATTTTTTATTTTTGTTTTAGAGTATTAGTCATGTACTTTTTCTTTAGGACAAAAATGTAAAAAGAATTTTTACTATTAAAAGTAATAGAAAAATTTTCACTTTTTATTTGTCGGCCAAAGAAAAAAATTAATATGATCGGCTGAAATGACTTAATACACATGTCTCTGTATGTACTGAAAGATTTTAATAGTATTGAAAAATAAACAACTACTCCATCCAATATAACAAGTATCTATATAAGTACCTACAAAATTAAACGACCAAAACGTACACATAATTGGCATTAAAAGTGGACAATTGATTTTTAAATTTTAATTTGACGTCTTTTCTCCACACAAAGCGCTTTTGTGCAGTGTAAAACTTGCATACCTTGAAGCGGCCCTGCACGCATTCCTTTACGGGGATTTCCCGATTCATCTCGAAGAGAACTACAGGTATAATACCTACACTACACGCATTTTTATATAATATATATACGACAATCTTTCCTCCTTCATAAATACATACTGTTTTTTTAATCGATTTTATTCATTTAATTTTAGAATAAAATTTGGAGACCTGAAATCCATAGAATATGTTAAATAACGACCAGTTAAATCTTATTGATTTATTTTCTTTGGAATGTATCTTTTTTAAATTCAGGATTCAAAATTATCATGATATTTACATAAATATTTAAAAAAGTCTGATATTTATTAAATTGTTTAATCTAACATAAATGTAAGATTATGACAGTTTTATTATTTCCAAAAAATTATTGCAGATTTTTTATAGATAACTTAATTTTTGTAAAAGAGTTAAATAATTGTTTAATTAACGTTGGTTAGAAAGATATCATCAACTGAAGAGTTTTTTTCTGTAACAACTATTTCAGCTGCTATTTGAAAAAAAAAATACAATATAATACAATATACTTGATTAAAAATACCTTATTAAAAATACAATATACCTTATTATGCAATGTAAATTTGATGAAATGATCGATTAAAGAAAAAACAGTAAAAAATAAAACAAGAATTTTCTAAACTTAGTTGGGAAAACCATAGTGTTGGAGAAAACATGTGAGGTTACCCTGGCGAAAATAAAAATCCGAGCGTACGTCGAATGTAAGGGAGAGTGACAGTACAAACGAAGTTTCTAGAAGACGAAAATTGAGACGATACGTGAAAGGCGTTTACTCTTCTTTTACTCGTCTCAATTTTCGCCTTCTAGAAGTTTCCGTTACGCTTCTTTCACTGTCCCCATTCGATTTACGTTTCAATCTTTTAATTTCACTAGAACAATAATATAGAGCGTTGTAGCTATTCATTTTAAATGATTGGGTGCATTCAGCACTATGGATCACTAAACGCTTAGATATTAAATAATAAATAATCTTTAATATTATATTTTTTACTTACTTATAAGTAAGAAATATAATATTAAAGATTACCTATAATAGATAAGTTAGTCTACATTACAAATATAATAAACATATTAATACTTTTGAGGTGTTTTCACGGTTATTTTCTTCAGGATACCAAAGGATTTGAGGATTAGCGCCGTGTCGTGATCCATTGCTAATGCCGTTTCGTGAACTTTGCCGTTCACTTCATCAGGGCGAGGAGCGCATTGATGACACGGTAATATGGCGTGATAATCTGCAAATCCTTTGGCATCTTTGAATAAACATATTTTTTTTATGCTCATCGAGAGCTCAGTGAACGGTCTGTGGTATTGAATGCGCCCATTAATTGTAGAACTGTGTGTAAATATAGCATAATACATATATAATATATAAATATGTATATATTATTATGATATATGTCAACTATATATTGCTGCATTGATAGAACAATACAAGTAAAAAATTAGCATTTTAAGAAAATGAAAAGAAATTGACCCTAAAGCCTTTAGATTTCCTTTTATTACCTAAAAAATGCTAATTTTTTGTATCATTTTTCTATGAACAATATATCCGATATGTTTTTTAACTTTGTTTTCAATATTAATTATTTTATTATTATTGTAAAGTACAATGTTTGACTCAAAATCAATAACATTAATATAAAATTCCAATAACTCATTAAATATCTTTGGATTTCAATAACTCGAAATGATTACCTGCATATTGTCTAAATCACATCGCTAATTTGTCTAAATCACAGAATGGAAATAGACCGAAACGTGTTGCGTGTCTTCCGCATGTACATTTTAATGCTTTTGGTAATACTTAGTTATGATAAATCATTATGCATTTATTACTACTTTTAGATAGCGCCAATTTCTCGTTTTTCCTAAAGGGTCTTTTTTACTTATTATTTCGTTCCGCGCAATTGGGAATTTAATCTGTCACGAGGCTGCTAATTTAGAGCTATTTCGACTCTTACAATTAGAATCCGTCTCAAACAGTAAAAGAAAACATGTATAATTTTAGAATTCAGATCGTAAAACATATGAAATAATTGATCAGTTTAATCTATTAACTTCAAAATATTTCTTTTTAAATGTTAATTGTAATCGTTTAACTACTATTGTAAATGTAATATTTGATTAAAAATTTACAATGTAATATTGATATAAAATATGTAATTATAATATTTATATGATTATAATAAACAACAAGGAGAGTTTGAAAGAACTATAAGATATTCTTTTTCGCGAATTAACTTCCGTGTAAGATTAAAATAAATTTCGCATTTATAGAAACAGCAACTGTGACACATTAAACAGCTACATTAAAATTCACAGTTCTCTATATTCTACTCTCTACTACTTATCTATTATTCTCTTACTACTTATCTGCTTCTCTATATTTTTTCTTCGTATATTATATTTAAAAATCTTACTGTTATTCTTTGTATATATGTAGCATTTATGTAGCCTTGAATCTGCCGGATTGTCGGGCAGGTTGTTGTCCCCGCGAGGAATAAAATAACGCTCTTCGCTACTCGACCCTGAAACGAGACTTCCTCGTACTTACTTTTCGACCAGTTTTGTCTGCTGTCGGAATCCACTGGTAAAGCGGTGTTGAAGAATTTGTTCACCACCACCGAGGACTTTCTTTGAAGGTTTGCTAGCATCCTTGTCTCGTCCTCTACTTGCTTCTCAATATTAGGATTGATATTCACTGATGAATATATTTGACAGCGCGATAAGGTGTTCCAGATCACCATAAGATCTTTCATTTTTCCAGCACAATTGAGTCTGTTGCTACGCGATATACTATATAACGAGAGAAAACTTTTCGGCTTTCATCTACTTGCGACGACTTATTGTCAGTGATTGAGTCGTAACGGCAAGCCACGGCCGACAATAAAGACAAGTCTCCACTTTAGGCTCGATGATAGCTCGCGGCTCCCACGTCGCGGTTTATAATGCCATGTAATTTCAACTAGAGTTGCTCACCGATTATACCCGCAATTTCAACACTCGATTTTTAGCTCGAATTTCGGCTAGGAGGAATTTCAGCCCTTCACTTTCTCCCGCGCTGTCCGATATCCGGCCGATATCCTACTTTGGATTACGGTCTTTTCCGGTCACTATCAAAACTTTTTTTTAAAACTTATTCGGGTTTGAAGGATCCGCGATATGATTTTCAAAAACCACGCGCTTTGAGATAATATTGTTCGACGAATAATATCGCTTTAATTCCAACGGACATTTCAGGTTCGAAACTTTGTTAGTTCCAGAAGAGCTTCGCGCGACACATTGCCGGTTGCTCAAAGTCGTGGCTTTTGTCTACTCCTGACCGACTTCGTCTATACCATCTATCGTATGTCACCTCAATCCCTGCCGGTGCGGTGTGTGCGGCATACGTCCCGGTGCAAGAGTGGCAGTACGAATCAGTGCAGATTTGAAAAATATCGCGCTCCCACTACATTTGTTACCACGCTTGTCGCTGGTTGTCATGGTGGTGGCGACCGGTAAGCACGTCAGATCCCATCCAATCGGGTCACGAGGTTGCAGCCCCACCGCGAGGAGCTTGTGGTACCTGTTAGTCGAGGATCTTGGTGGATCACCGGCTTTATCGGTCGGAGGGAGGCGATATTTCAAGGTCATTGAGTGGTCAAAAGACGCTCGTGTTTCAGGATAATATCACCTGCCCTTTGCGGTCGTGATCGCTTCTTGGAACTATTGGGTCTACCAAGATCGACCTTGCTTTGCCTACGACGATAGAATCATGTTGTATACGGACTTGTTTGCGATTGGAGAGTGTAATATATTATACTCTTCACTTCTACAAAGATTAAGAACCTATGACAATGAGAGCGTCTCTAATGAACGGTATAAATTAAAGAACAGAAGATGTTTGAAATAATTACGACTCAAACGAAATCGTTATTTAAAACACATTTCAATAAATAAAGTTTTTCGGAAAAGAGGAAAAATTATTTCACAATTTAACAGAAAATTATTAATCAATTAAATAATATTGGTACAAGTGTATAATGGAAACATAATCAAATATTCGTTTGTCATTTTTTTCCTTTCACAATTCTTAAAAAACCACCCTTTTAGTTGTGACAATATTTTAGCTGCAAAATTATAACAAATCTTGAATAATTCATCAAAAGTGACATAACTCACATAAATATCGCCAACAATTTATATTTACGTTGATTACAAAATAATTAATTAAAAATAAAACAATTTTTTTTTCAAACTTTGATCATCAAAACTAAATGTATTCTAAATGTACTCTGTAAAAACTTCTTTTTCTTATAAACAATAATAACCTGCTCGTTATTGAATATACTTGAATTTATTTAATTTAATTTTAATATAGTGTTGACATTCTTTTTTTTAATTACAAAATAATATAATTCAAAATGTATTATTCTTGTAGAATGTATTGTAATCTCTTTGAAAATCTTAAGCAACACAAGTATTATTTGATGGATGGACTATGAAATTGAGTTAGCTTACTTTTAACTACTGATACGGTAATTTTTATGTAACTCATCCATGATAATAATTCGAAAGTCACATTTTTGTAGTTGTGTTACTTTTGAAATAAGAAAATGAAACGATGTTATAATTTCGAAAACGTTTGCATTCTGGAGAAAGTACATTTATTAGGTATATAAGCATACTACTTCTCGACGGATTAAAGGTATTACAAAATTGAAGTAAATTGAGGTATTACAAAAGTGGCCCCGAGTTTAATTTGAAATGTGATTTATCTTCCAATTTTATTCACTCTCGATTGTTCCATTTATGAGTTTAAGTTTAAGTTAATCTAAAATAATACATTATTCTAACATCTTATACATAGAATTATACATACATATTAACGTCTTACATAATTATACGATATTGTATGCTATTGCAGATTACTTTTTTACTTTATAAACTGTGGAAAAATAATGTTGCAATTAATACGACACACGTTTCGTTAATCGAAATGATAAAACGCCCGCAGGGAATTCGGGAAATCCAGATTTTAATCCCGGCTGCGGTAACATTTTTTGCAATAAATTGTTTCCAGTACTTTAGAGATGCTTATTAGAAATCAATCATATTAAATTAATTAAATTGCTTGTCAAATTAAGTTATAATAGTACTCCAGCTTCAATCTAACACTGTGTTTTAAAATCAACACGCATACATATATATACACACACACACATATATATATATATATGCATATTGGTTTTAATATATATATAGAGAAATCATATAAAATATGTTTTAATATATATATATATAGACTTTGAATCTCTGAATACAAAAAATTAACCCTTTTGCTTCATCACATTTAGTTTTTTAGATAATTAAAAAGATAGTAGAAAATCTGTGAAAATTAAAACATTTGAAAAAGGGCAAAAATAAATATGACATTAATATGCGATTGCAAAATAATTTAAATATATTTTTGTAAGTTAAATAGTGTAAGAAATAGACAAAAATTTTTCCTGTGTCATACGTGTAATTGGCGACTTGGCCGTTGAGCCTCAAACAGTAGTGAAGGGAACAGTAGGCATCAGCTTAGAATTAATTAACGTCTATTGTTCCTCTCACTATCGCTCGAAGCTCGATGACCGAGTTGCTGATTTCACGTATGAGATTTCAAAAAGTTTTTCTATTTCTTGCATTTTATTTAACTTACCAAAATATGTTTAAATTAGTTTTATAATTATATTTTAATATCATATCTTAAGGTCACATTTTTGCTCTTTTTTCAAATATTTTAATTTTCACAGATTTTCTATCATTTTTCTTGATTATCTAAAAAACTTGACGTGAATAAAACGATTTATGAATTCGGATTCAGCGACTTAAAATCTATAATAAACATTTACTCTGGGTTTGAGATTGTCTTAAATTTTTTTTTGTAGTTTTGTGATAATTAGCGTACGAATATAGTCCTATTCTTTTATTTGTGTTAAGTATTTTTAAATCAGAATAGAAAAGTCGAAACTTATTTTTAACGTCAAAAAGCTATTTTTTATTAATGTTTATATTTAATAGAGTTTTTATTATGTGTATAACATGATTAAGTGCGAGTTGTGAGATATTTGAAGCTTTATATACATAATAAGATCAGCTACCATGCATCTGTTTTATAATGAATTTTTATCTGAGATTGTTTCATGTAGTTATGTATACATAATGATTTTGTCAATCGGAGCGACTTTTCGCGATGCTACTGGCAAGAAAATCAATGCTGCAATTTCTCAAGAAGCAGTCATAACTGATCAATAACACTTATTATACAATTATGATCAATCATACGTTCGTCGCGATAAAGCGCAGTGAGCGCCGAGCATGTGCATTCTTAAATATCTACTTCGTATACTTTCGCATAATCGCGTTTTTTAAAGAAAAGAAATTGTCTTAACATATAAATATTTAAGAAAATAAAAATAATAATTGAATTGTAATTTCCGATGTGTCTCAGGACCTATTAACTGTAAAAATTTTCGCTGACGTTGCATGTTTCACTGTTAAATTATTTTGACCGCGGACAACGCATGATCCACGTCCTTGCCGATCCCGTTCCCGCAAGTTCGTACAGGCCGACGTCATTGAACGCGTATGATGAATAACAATGTGTATCATGATTTTTTTAATGATCCGGTAGTGTAGCTGCAAACCGGTAATATTCATCGATTCCGTGTCGGGAGATTCCCCGGAATTGCCTACGATGTATGACGGTTCTTCCACATATTAAATTCCTCTTTTACTGACGGGTGTTTCCTGTAGTATTTTATGAGTCATTTTTTTGGAATATTAGTACACATACTATTTTCCCATTTACTCGGACATTCCATTTACTAATTCCTAAGTACGTGCGTAAGAACGCTCGTAATTAACTTGTCGAGCATATTTTAAATATTTTAAGGTTTAGATAAATTGAATATATATAGAGGCTCTGTGTGTGTGTGTGTGTGAAAAAATTGGGTTGATAACCTATTGAAGTCGACTAACTGGTTATTAATGCGAAGAAATATGTATTATTATATATATTACAAATTAAACGTGTATACTGTTCGAGCAAAAAATTGCCGTAGGCTAGAGTTTGATATGTATTTGAAATATTTTTATTTAAAACACACTATTTGCAATATAAGCATATTTTGTATTTTTTATTTTAGCGCATCACATAAAAATATTACGTATTTTGTATTTAAAATCGAAAGATTGAAAGCTTTTTGTATCTTGTAATTTAAATAATAAGGTTGATTATCAATGTTAGTATTTGAAATACAAAATACAAAATACTTTCATAATCTTTTGTTATTAATACTAAAATATAAAATACAAAATACTTTTATATGCTCCCATGAAATACAGAATACAAAATATTTTCATGTACTCTGAAGAAACACAAAATATAATTGTGTTACCAATACTGTTTTTCAAATAAAAGTATTTCAAATACATGCCCATCTCTGCCGTAGGCGATGGCATTTGATCCATCGTTATAACGGAGTATTGGTAAAAATTTTTAACTGGTAATAATCACACCTCAGTAGAACTTCACCGATAAACATCCAATACGAGTAACATCAATAAAATGCCATACAAATCTCCATAATTATTGTATTATATTATAATAATAGTGTAAATTATATCATAAATTGTGTATTTATAAGGTCATAATTTTCATACATTTAGATGTGCTTATCAAACAAAGTTAACTGCAAACTTTGAACTTGAATTCTCTTTGTGCGGAAGTTCATTGATTACGATATCGCTACTGTGCAAAGCTACTTTCACCAATACTGTTACCACGATGACGTGGAATATCATCAGCTACAGCAATTTTTTGCATCAACAGTACGTTTAATTTGTAATAGTATATATTCTTACATACTAATAACACACATTGCCTCGACTCTAATAAACTTTTATTACACTAGTTTTATGGTTTAGAAACATTTATTAAAGTGAGTTTATATTGCAGCTATATTAAAAGCTATAAGGCGAAAAATGCTAATCAAATCTATCTTTCTTTAACGTGTTTATAGTGGCTCTGTGATAATAGCATTATATACCTTTGTAATGTAATAAAATACCATTGGATTAGTGAAAGACCTATTAGAACGAATAGTGTGTATAATATTTTATTCAAATAGATATTTAATTATTTCCAATAGTTTCATTGCTACTCCTGTAAGTTTTCATAAAGTTCTAGCTGTTAACTAAATCGTCTCCAAAAATTTGTAATTTATTTAAACCTTACCGTGTTACAATCTTATTGTAATAATACCTAATATAATATTTTTTATTTTTTAAATAAAAATTTGCTATAATAAGTCTCCATATTACGTATAATTAATACAAATGAACATTTCTACT